AACAATAAACATTTTATAAGCATAAAAATGTATAATACTAGTGCCGTAGTCATTATCAGGAATGAGACATGTTCCTAGTCGTTTTTTGGCAAGAAGCCCCTTCGTGTCTCATAATATTAAACCTACAAAGGAGCTTCTTGGTAGTAGATGGAGAAGAGAGGCCCTAGATAGTAAATAGACAAGAAGGGCTATTGGTAGTAAATGGAGAAGTGAGGCCCTAGATTGTAAATAGACAAGAAGGGCTCTTGGTATTAAATGGAAAAGAAAGTCCCTAGATTGTAAATAGACAAGAAGGGCTTTTGGTAGTAAATGGAGAAGAGAGGCCCTAGATAGTAAATAGACAAGAAAGGCTCTTGGTAGTAAATGGAGAAGAGAGGCCCTAGATAGTAAATAGACAAGAAGGGCTCTTGGTAGTAAATGGAGAAGAGAGGCCCTAGATTGTAAATAGACAAGAAGGGCTTTTGGTAGTAAATGGAGAAGAGAGGCCCTAGATAGTAAATAGACAAGGACTCTTGGTAGTAAATGGAGAAGAGAGGCCCTAGATAGTAAATAGACAAGAAGGGCTCTTGGTAGTAAATGGAATAAGAAGATCCCTGTTATATATCATACAAAATACTTAATAATTTTAGTGTGTTTACATAGTTGTTCAATCTTATTATTTTTAGTAGCATTTATTTATATTAGTTCATTAATTTTTATTGATATCCATAAGTACATTTTATGATATTAAATAGTTTTCTCCCGAACTGCGTCATTCCATTTTATAAAGTATTCTGATGACATGCATTATGAATACTATTGTTACGACAGCTGAAGTCGCATAACGCTGGGAGCATGCGCGCTGGAGTTTCTCGAAGGGTTATGAATTTGTAACTCTAGTCTGATCGAGCTTTCCTGTTTTTTAATATATAAGCCTGGCGAGGAAACCAGGGGGGGCGGATAGATTGAAGAGATAGAGATAATTGAGTCAAGCGAACAGTAGGAACCGTAAGTAAAGTGTGTGAATCACTGTTATTTATAGCGTGTGGTATAAAGGTTGTTACGTTTAAAGTGACTTTGGAAATTCTGTGCATTACAAAAAGGTTGTATCGAGAAAGAAAAACTAGTTTTAATCAAGAAAGGATTTGTGTCGCTGAATATAATCTGATTTCTTTGAGCACCAAGTGTTTGAGTTAAAAAAAAAACCCTCCCTTCCGCTAAGAAAATCACACACCCCTTTTCAAAACCCTTTGTACGGGCCAGCTGTGTTGTATAATTACAGCAATACCACACAAATAACATAAACAAAATTGTATAGTTTTCTTTTTGATTTAAAATATAGGCTTATCTTGTAATGGACTGTGTTTTAAAGATTTTATTGTATTATTTTGTGCAAAAGCATAGAAAATTAACTCACCTAAATCAGTAAATGATTCCATGGCCAAGAAATAGTGTAAATAACGAAGTATAATTACGATCAGTAGAGGTGTTATATTCGATATTTATTTCTTGAGGTCTTACAAGACTTCCATAATATAAATATTGTTACGTTTCCGTTCGTTAGTTAATTTTCCGTAAATTCGTTCCGACGAAACTTTAGCGACACAAGTCCTTTCTTAAATAAAACTGGTTTATTCTTTCCGAATACAACTTTACGATACACTTAATTTCAACAGTCGCTCTATAACAAACGCTATAACTCACAACGAACTTCTCACGTGCTCAACAATATTCTTACTCATTACCTCCGCAGTTCAATTACACACATATTGTTCCCGTCACTTTGTGACCGTCTTATATATATACTAGACTAACACATATCTAGTAAACGCTAGAGCATTCATGAAGGAACAGGATATTTCTAGAAGGACGTGGCGTGATACTAGTCACGTGACCTCGCTGACGCAACAACATATTAATTAAAAACTCACAAACTAACCCTGTTAAGACAGCTAATCGGCAAAACGGTGGTTGACTAAGCGCGTGTAACAGTTATTAATAGTTACTGACAGCGTCCTCTACCTACTACACGTTATTTTACCACACTGAACGCCACAAGTAAACTGTTTGTTTCATATTGGCATAACTTCAAGTCACTAAGCTAAACTTATGTTGGTTTTTATTAAATATATTGTCCCTTAAAATCATGTTTAATGGCTATTACAAATGTGTTGGGTTGATTTTCATACATGAATAGGAAATAAGTGGAACCATTTTAAGTGTATAGAACCTACTGCGATCAGCCGAAATAAAATAAAAAATCAGGTGGTCCGAAAACAAAAAAGTTTGGTTACCATTGGTCTATACTTCTAGACTCTAAATGGTATATTATTGTTAATATTTAAATATAACGATAGAATTCGATGCTTAACCCATGATAATAATAAAGGAGCGTTTGTTTCTTTCCCGAATTTCGCGCAAAGCTACAGCTATCTGCGTAAACCGTCTCTGTTTTTGACGTAATAGACAACAGGGAAGTCAGTAAAATAGTCCCCGCCAACAAATCTTGGTCTACTGTTTAAGAAAGAATATTATATAAGAGCGCCACGACTGAAAAGGCGGGCATGTTTTTGATTCCGCGACCTGGAGGTAGCGAATCGAGCGCCCCCTTAGTCACCAAGACACACGAAGGAGGGCTTCTTTAGTTTGTTTTGAATTTCGCGCAAAGCTACACGAGGGCTATTTGTGCTAGTCGTCCCTAATTTACTAGTGAAATACTAAAGGGAAGGTAGCTAGTCATCACCACCCACCGTCAACTCTTTTACCAAATAATAGTGGAATTGACCATTAATAAATAACTCCCCTACGGCTGAAAGGGCGATAATATTTGTAGGGACTGGGATTCGAACCCGCATCCATCAGATTGCAAGTGGAGCGCCCCAACCACCTGGCCATGCCAGGCCCGAAACGTTAAGTAATACGAATAGGAAGTGTGAGGTGATAAACTTATTTAAATATGTGAAAAGTACTTTACTTTACTTTACACTAGAACAACAACAAAAATTATGAATTGCGTTCTTTAAACTCTCACATTTATAAGTTTCAAGTATGTGCTACTTGTGTACATATATTTAATGTTGAATTTATAAAGCCGTCTATGATTTCCAGACGTGAAACAAGTGGAAACGTATTATTTAATCTTTCAGGGTTTCCTTCTGGTTTTTACGTGTTAGAAGGGATCTTATTGTGTATGGTACCAAGTAAACATTTTATCTAACTGTAGTTTTTTGTCTTACAATTCAGGAACACTTTAGAACTTACAAAAAAAAACATTATACTGAAAACACGTATTACTATTATTTATATTCTTTCAATTTTTAAAAAATATCTGCTGATTTTTCTACCTATTAGACCTGTTTATGGTCTGTTTGTTTTGTTTTTTTACTGGTAGATATTAAATATATACGCTTGTTATAAATGTCTACATGATGTTTGTGATGGACTTGTTTCAATCAAGTTTCTTTTGATGTCGCACACTAACTGTCTATGTGAAGTTTATAATGGACTTGTTTTAATCAAGTTTCTTTTGATGTCGCACACTAACTGTCTATGTGAAGTTCATAATGGACTTGTTTTAATCAAGTTTCTTTTGATGTCGCACACTAACTGTCTATGTGAAGTTCAT